TATACTATTTGAACTTTGCAGATGACCTAGCTCTTCTATCTCATACACACCAACAAATGCAGATTGAGACAGTCAGTGTAGCATTATTCTCTGCATCAGTAGGCCTCAACAAACGCAAGAGAAAAAGCAATATCCTCAAATACAACATAGTGAACATCAATCCAATCACACTTGATGGAGACATCCTGAAACAGGTGAAAACATCCACGTACCTGACTGATCAACATCACCAGATCAAGCTGGCAACAAAAGAGTAATCAGAGTTTCCGCAAACTGATCTTAACCTATGATGCTTCTGTGAATTTCCCATAAGGTGCTCAATGGGCTTCCATATGGTTCACGTATCCAAACACTCAAGTGCCTTCTAATGGTCAGGAAATCTAATGTATAATCACTAGTCTTATTTTTCAATAATGGTCGGCATTTCTTCGATTTAGTCAGTACACGATTGATCCTTAGGAATTCTGTTTGTTGATGAGGAAGTCAGATATCAATACGTACGAAACGGCTATACTTGATTCCTAAATTACAAACGAAAGGGAGCTCACTTTATTCACGTCTTTCAGGCACTCTTTTTGCACATTAAAAGTGGAACATAATAGTGTTGTAAGCCATATGAGGATTCGAATATAATGAACAGATCAAATGCGGTCGAGCTGAAAGTTTACAAGATTATTTCAGGAAAGTTTGCTCCAAGAATATTAATTTCAACTGTCGTCACATTCATAAATGTGAGATCCAGACTACGATACTAGCTTTTTGACAAAGGAAGCAGTTTATCGCTTGATTAGCGAACCACCAAGCAATTAATCCCAATAGATAAAATACACGAATTTGTGTCGTCCCAGATGTTATTTGCAACAGAGCCACCGAAAAAGTAACTTGGAACGTGCTTTCCACAGATTCAACACCTACGTGATTATAAGGTTGCTATTCGAAACATGAAAATACGCAAATTTTGCTTATTTAATGACCTGTCAACTTACTGTCTCTTTATATAATGCATTTGAAATATTTGTGGTGCGTTTCTGACTTGCCTCTGGTTAAAAACCCGTTGACTGTAGAGCCTGACATAGCGGTCACTCCTGTTTGACTATTCTAGTCCGTATAAATAAATTAATTAATTAATTAATGCATCGTAGATGTCCACTGTATTCCGTGTTTCCCTTCAGATGTTGCCCAGATTGGTTTACATTTTCGTATAAATATTCATGTATATTAGAGTAAAGCCTGATGACGATCTAATTGAAAACAATTGTTCGCTTATATGTGTTGTTCTAAGTTACTGCTGCGTCTTATTTCAGTGCCTCTGCTGGAATGTTGTCTAGTCCTGCTGCTTTGCCACTCTTGATTTGTTTGATGGCCACACTGATTTCTTCAATTTCTGGTGGGCCAACATCGTTTGGGTGGGTTCAGTGGAGCTGGTCGATTCAAGAGTTCTTTGAAGTGTTCTACCCACCTGTTTCGTTGTTCTTCAATGTTGGTGATTACCTCGCCTTCCTTGCTTTTCACTAGTCGTTCTGGTTTATGGTGATTTCCAGAGAGTCTCTTTGTCGTGTCATACAGTTCTCTCTCATGTTTCTTCCTCTTGCAGCCTTTTCCGCCGTCCTCGCTAAATCTTCCACATATTTACGTTTGTCAGTTCTGATGCTCCTCTCCACTTGCTTGTTTACTTCTGTGTATTCAGCTTGTGCCTTGGCTTTCTCTGCTCTTGTTCGGCTGGTATTGATTGCTGATCCTTGTTCCTCCTTCCTTGAATCATATCCAGTGTACCAACAGTGATTCATTCCTTGTGATGGTGCTTCTTGTGGCTCAGAACCTCATGACATGTTGAAGTGATTGCCTCTTTGATCCCCTTCCAGTTGCTCTCCATAGTAGTTCCTTCTCCATTGAGTAGATCATGAAAGGCCTGGAACTTATTGCTGAGGACTATCTTGAATTTGTTGAGTTTGTCAGTATCCCGAAGAAAAGCCGTATTAAACATTTGTGATATTGTCCGCCCCGTTTGCCAGTACTGCTTGAGTTTCAATTTCATCTTGGCGACCAGCAAGTGATGATCTGATGCTAAATCAGCTCCTCTCTTGGTTCTCACATCCTCCATCGTCCTCCTGAGCTTCTTTGTTGATGTAGATATGGTCGATTTGGTTTTGCGTGGTGTGATCTGGCGAAGTCCATGTGGTTTTGTGAATGCACTTATGTGGGAATATAGTGCCGCCTATGATCAGTTTATTGAGGACACATAGGTTTGCAAATCTCTCACCACTTTCGTTCCTTTCTCCCAGTCCACGTCGTCCCATGATGTCTTCATAATCGGTGTTGCCATTCCAACCTTGGCATTTAAATCTCCCATCAGAATGGTCAGGTCCTTTGTTGGGCAGTTCTCGACGATTGACTGCAGCCTATAGTAGAATTGATCTTTAGCGTCTTCATTGTAGTCGTTGGTAGGTGCATAGCATTGGATGATGTTCATTGAAATACCCTCTTTCTTTGTTTTGAAGGAGGCTTTGATGATTCTTGGTCCATGAGATTCCCATCCTATCAGTGCATTTTGTGTATATGGGGCATTTTCTTCTTCATGGTCGGAGTATAACAGAAGTTCCCCTGAATCTAGTATTTGTTGTCCAACTTGCGTCCAATGTGTTTCACTGATCCCCAGCACCTCTAGGTTGTCGGCCGAATTCGAGGAAAAGTGTTTTTAGTCATAGTGGATGCACTCTCGAAATGGCCACAAATATATGCTATGGAAAATTGCACAATCAGTGAAACAATCAGCAAGCTATCTAAATTGCTTAGCTGTTTCGGAGCTCCGGAGAATTTAGTTACTGACAGCGGCTCAAAATTCACTTCAGAATCATTCAAATACTTCTGCAGCATTAATGGAATTATGCATATGCTCTCTCCAGTCTATCACTCTCAATGAAATAGACAGGCAGAGCGGTTTGTTGACACATTTAAAAGTGTATTGATGAAAGGTGGAGACGAGAGGACAAGTCTGATAATTACAAAATCCTTAACTTATAGAACTAAGCCCAACCCTATTGTCTTAGATGGAAATTCCCCTACTGAAGCTATGTTCGGAAGAATTATTCGACGCCATGTTATCACTCAAATCAGTGGATGCACACAAAATCAGACTATCCGAAGTTTTAACGTGGATGATAAAGTGGTCATCAAGTCATGCCTCAGAAAAAATCTATAGGAACCTAGAGTTATTGAAAATGGAATGGAAAATGTTTTGTGGATTAGACACATCAGCCAAATTTACAGAGAAAAAGGACGGTGAACACGGTAGACATATGAGTCAGTCTTCCACTGGAAATAGTTACAGATACCCCAATGACAGGAAACCCAACAGACATTTACAATCGCTGGACACCAGAGAAGTCGGGATGCCACCAGGAACCAGTCATCAAGCTGCAAGTAGACCCGAAGAAAAGGCCTTATTTTTTGAAAGGGGGGGTGTTGAAGAGATCCAGAAAATTCCTCAAAAAAGCTCTGAAAACTCCGGGAAACATTTTATTTAATCAGGGTTGAATAGAAGTACCCCAGAAACATCTAGAAAGTGAAGTCACATTTTTCTCGCGTGTTCGAGTTGCCGAATAGATTTAACCTGGGGTTTACTAGAAGAGCTTAGGAAACTGAATCAAGCATTCAGTTGGAAGACTTATCACATTTGAAACGTACGAAGCTAACAAAAATCAACTATTAAAAAACTAATGGTGTATTGGTGATATCCTGATGTGAAGAAATTCAATTTTTCTACGTTTCATCACATAATGTGAGCTACTTCTTTAGAAAGTAAGTACATAAGTAACCGAACTAAACAAATTTCTACCTAATGCTTAATTTATTTGAAATTACCACGTTTAATCTTGATAATGATATCTACAAATATATAAGGTTGTGTAATTGGCCTTAATTAGTTTCCTTTTGAAATATGTGGCCACACTTTTGTTTCAGAAAGATGATCAATGAAAAACCAGGTCCCATTTTAGGTTTCTTTCATCGGTGTAGGAAACTTACAGAAAAAACCGTTCGCATACTCACAACAGTACTCAAGTTAATCTTATGCTTAAGCCAATTTCTCGTTTCTTAATATTTATTTAACTCCTTCTATGAACCTTTCTTTTATCTCATAATTACCTACATGTCTAAATAATGTTAACGATTCAAGCGTATCAATTACTATACTTAATCACTTGGAAATGCGTTGATAATTACATGCTCAAAATTTTGAACCTCGTGTTAAATCACATAATAAATTTTAGTAGTCAAGATTGAAGAATTCCATCCTACAAATACATTTTGTCTCTAAAATCATTCTAGGCGACATCTATACCAATTTAAGATGCTATGTAAAGTAGGATAAAACTGATAACAGAGAGAGGTATGAGTTTGTTATTTGATTAACACCATCTGATATGTGTATATAATTTGCAGGATAAATATATATGTTGGGATGATCCAGAAAATTGCTTGCAAAATACAAGCAAGCATCACGAAACACTAAGAAGCGTTTCATCCAATCAGCGTTCACTTGAAGTCTTAGCCAAAAATATCAAGGAAGCGAAACGCCACATGCAGAGGCTCTGATTGCCTGGCTGCTACACTACTACTATGTTTAGTAGCATTCCAGAATCTTCTAGCAACCCAAGGACATTTAAAATATTATAAAAACCCTGTATTAAAATGAACCTTGGAGTAAACTACTTTTCGCATACTTCGCGTCTTCTCTCTCGTGTTCAGGTCGCTGTATAGTTCTAGTTTGGGGATTACAGAATAGCTTAAGAGACGAATAAAGCGTTCAATCCGCAAGACTTATCAATATATATATATATATATATATATATATAACATCAACCGTGTTATTATGTTGAAGACAACAAACTTATTTATCTAATGCTACCATTTAATAATACAATTTACATATCATCAATATGAGATGTCAATGTTATTCAATGTTTAAGAGAAAATACAACTGATATGAAAAGAACAAATATACTTTGTTAAACATTTTTATTAAATTGATTTATACTACTAAATAAGTAGGCAAAATATGAATGAGAAAAAAACACAAAGAAAAATCATAAAACGATTGGAGAATAGAAATTACACTGACAACAACAACAACAGCAGCAATAATACTAATTAACAATCATTATGAATTGCGCGCCTTGATTAATTGCATTTAGACAAAGAAATAGTTTCAATGTTTCAATATTAAATTGTTTTAATATTTTTATAAATATCTAAACCAGTCATTGTATGTATTAAATTTGGTAAACTATTCATAATTGTAAATAATTCACCAGTTAATTTTGAAACACCAATATCCCCTTCACCTGTACAAATCATAGTGACTTTATCACATTTAGTTAATGGTGAACTAATCTCGGCAGCAATTTTTGGTAATGATTGTAATACCATGTCTAATTTAGCAACATTCTGAAGAGAAAAAAAAATTAAATAAAGAAAGAAAAATATTATCAAAGTATATTTGTTTGTAAAAAGAACGAGTAAAAACAGAATAGATTTATGTACGCGTCAATTATTATTATTATAAGCAAAGAAGGATAGTGGCTAGCAGTGGAATCCAGTTTGACGCGCGTTTCGCCCTGTTTGAGACTCGTCAGTTGGATGTACCTGCATCTCAGAGTTGATGTTCACTCCGGGACTCGAACCCAGTACCATTCGCTTTAAACGCCATCGCGTTATCCACTTAGCTACTGAGTCCTGATAGCCACTTGCTTGTGCAATGTGGTGAAGTTTAATTCACTTGGTATTGTTTTACTTGAATCTTCCAATTAATGCTTTAGGACTGAAATCGATCAGTCTGTTATTGGCATATGTGCATACTGTGCTTATGCCTCGATATTGCCTTAATTTACAAGCATTATAAGCAAAGATGGATAGCGGCTAGCAGTGGAATTTACTATTTAAACATAAACATTGGTACAAGGAGGCACCAAACAGATATACACCATATAAATCATTCGATTTGTGTGAGGGCTGTGATACTGCCCAAACCGAAACAGGTGGTTTTCATAAGAGGGAACACCCGGAGCCTTTGACCTAAAGGTCTAATCCACAAAGAAATGGAGCAGTGTCGGGAGATGCAGTCCTATGGTAGACGGTGATCAACGATTGATTCATACGCCATTTGTTCCCTTAGGATACTGGAGACCATGTGCACCATTGGTTTTGAGTCAGAGTTTTCCAACTTCCTTAGGTGGATCCTCTATATCAATCTACCCGATTAAAGCGCCGTACATTCGGCTTTCGTCCTCTCAATTTGGTAAACAACAGTAATGCCGTGAGAAGGCAGTGTGAGTAGTACTTCCCTAGCAGGGGTTGTATGCACGTGGCCACTTGAGAGCATTTCTAGAGGGAGAGCTGACTCTCTTCACGCGTCAATACTGAGCCCCGTAAAATTTTGTTATGTGAAGGATAGCAATATAATCTGTCTGACTAAATTAAGTAGATGGAGGGAGTTCCAAACATGCAACTCAATAGTTGAAATTCGAGTGTTTTATCCATTAAGTTGTGATTTAAACAAAATGTGTGATTGTATTTCAAGAAACAACATCATTCCTCATGATTGAGGTAAACGATAAACAGTAAAAACAAGATATATGTATCATTATAAATTTCACTGATATTAAATTAACGTGGGTATATCTCTGTTGAAGTTGGTAATTGAGTTCTATCCAACTTGTGTTTTACATACTGTATGATAATAATAATTTACACAAATAAGCCTAAACTAAGCATTCGCAGTAAATCTGTATGGTAATTCTGTTGACATTGATTCCTTTAAATCGAGTCAACCAAAAATGGTGCTAACATTTTGATAAGTCTTCTAATTGAACGCTAGCTCTTCTAGTAACCCCAGGCTAGATCTACACAGCAACTTGAACACGAGAGAAAAGGCGCGAGATATGGAAGAAACATTTTACTCCGAAGTTTCGTTTATGTACAGAAAATCTAGTGTTTTAATAGTATTTTAGATGACCTTGGGTTTCCCGAAAATTCTGGAACGCCAGTAAACATAGTAGCCGTATAGGTAACCATTCAATTAGAAACTCAACATGTGACTTAACTTTGTAGATGTTTCTGGCATAACTTCAAGTGAATGTCAATTCGATAAGATGCTTCTCTCAATGTTTTCACAGCCATTTTTTTAGGTTTTTTCCGAGTTTTCTGGATCTCCCCAACACATTTCTCATTCAAACATTGATGCAATCAATGTTAATAATTAGCCGATGGATTAATTTTCTTGTTATTATTTAACAGTACAGAACTTATCATGTAATCAAGAACAGATTGACGTTACAGAAACGTGGAATAATGAAATGAAATACATTAGCCTAAAGACAAGTTCACTCTGTCAAAGCAGAAGACCATGAGTACCAATGTCTGAAGATAGTGGAGATGTACTGTTGAGAAGTCCCAAATTAAATTGAAATACATATGTAATTTTCAGATAGTTAGTTTCAATTAACCTATTACATAAGCTCTAAAAATGTATCACTAATATTATTTTCAATTAAGTCATCATGACAACAAGGAATTAACTGAAAAGAAATATCTTTTCTGTTCAAATTTTATTTGAAATTCTTTGATGGAAACATTTGATTGATGAAACGTTTAAAGGCTCACATTTCTGACAAACATCTTATGAAAATATTTAACAGAAGATTGTGTAATACAAAATGGTTAGCTTGTTTTTTTTTCATATTGAAACCATTTAAACATTCAGACACACCACAATCGTAGTATTTCTCGACCTTAAGGCAGCGTTCGACTCTGTTGATCGTGAGGTTCTATGGCAGTGTTTGTCACTGAAAGGAGTACCAAAGAAGTACATTAACCTTATAAAGGCTCTCTACTCGAACACAACTGGTCGAGTGAGAGCTTATGGCGAACTGTCATCAGAATCGATTACCTCAAGTGGTGTTCGTCAGGGTTGTCCACTCTCCCCATTCTTGTTCAACTTTGTGGTCGACGTACTTTTAGAGATAACACTTTCCTCGTCTAGATTTCCAGGGGTTGAACTTCTACCGGGAGGTTCACTTGTTGACTTAGAATATCCTGATGACATAGTTTTATTTGGTGAAGACGCTGACAAAATGCAGAGTCTTCTGACCACTCTAAGCAACAATGCAAGCATGTTCGGGATGCGATTCTCTCCCTCGAAATGCAAAATATTGCTTCAGGATTGGATTGAATCGACACACGAACTAATGATAGGGAGTGAAGTAGTTGAGCGTGTCGACCGTTTCACCTATCTTGGAAGTCTCATCAGCCCTTGTGGTCTAGTGTGCGACGAAATCTCAGCACGGACACAGAAGGCTCGACTAGCTTCCGCCAAATTGCGTCATTTATGGCGTAGGCGAGATATCCATCTACCAACCGAAGGATAGGTTTACTGCTCAGCAGTTCGTTCTGTCCTACTTTATAGCAGTGAAACATGGCCGGTAAGAGTAGAAGATATTCGTAGGTTACTAGTATTGGATCATAGGGGTGGCCAGACCAAAACATGACACAAATCCATGAAGTCACTGTTAAGTGGACTGAGCCATGTTGGTAGATGTAGACTACCTGGTTGGGGACCGCGAGATGATAGCAACCGATGGTTAGAGACCCTGAATGACATGGTTCAAAATCGTTTACAATGGTGCAGGTGCATCCACTTCTTGTGTTCTCCCAAATTCTAATCTCCTGATTCCTCCTTGTCTCTTTTTTCTCTTCCCAAATTTATTTCACTGTATTATACTCCTTGAATAACATCTCCAAACACTAATTTTCCCGATTACTGCTTATACTCTGACTACCTCTACCACTACGGGATTTGAATCGACGACTTCATCTCCATGCTAATGTGGTATGGCAACTCGAACTGATGTACGTACGTACGAAGTTCTACGTTGTTACTGACTGACTGACTGATCGTTCGTTGAATAATTCGGAGCTACTATATAGAATTATCGAACATAGTAGTAAACATATCACTAACAAGGAACTATAAATAGATTTAATAAATTGAGTTTCATTCAGTATATATTAATGTGGAAATATTCCTTCATTGTTATGAGTACACATTTGTGTTCTCATATTAGTTTATAGATAAAGAACTATAATTTTATTAACATATTCAGTTTTACTCATAATATGAAGGATAAAAAAGAATCAGGAGTTTAAAACAGGCAATTAGAAACGGTAATAGAAAATGATCATGTAATTGAGTTTATATTTTGTTATTCAATAGACATGTACTTATTCAAGACCAGTATTTGTTTGGTGGTTAGAATAATCAAAGTTAAACCATAAGATAACATGTTTCAACCTTATTCCATGTCGTTGAATTCGGGTGACAGAATAGTATAAATACGCTTCATACAGTGAGTGTAACTTTGATGGCAAGAGAATGGAGATAAACTCAGTTAAAATTCTAATACTGTCTTCTTTACCTTTCATAAAATTAGTATGATTGCTCTACAGATTAGAATACTAGCAATAATCAACTAAGATAAATGCAAAATTCATATGCATATAATGATGTGATTATTTGAAAGTTGGACCTTCTAAAAGTTAAGAATATTATAATTGTATATACACTGATTAAAAATCGATAGAGATGTAACTTAATGGTTAAAGTGTTAACTTTCAATAAATAAGTCACCATTTTGAACCTTGCTCGCATAACTAGACTACAACACAAACTTGATTATATGAACCCACAGTTGGTGAACGATTTACATAACAAATCAAACTTAGAAAGAAGTTGAGAAGCTTCAAACTTGTACAAAACTTCCATTGAGTATCTATCTTCGTTTCTATGGTTTCCAAAAATTCTCTAAGTTATACCAGTCTTTTCAACATAGTTTATCTTCGAGGTAATTATCACTTATTTATTGATTTCTAGTGAATAATGCACTCATTTCATTTGGACTTTTATAGTACAAAAACACACCGCTATTTGGATAGTATCAATCTAATAATTGTGTGCAAAATAGAAACCGGCACATGTGTGCATAAGTTCAAGTTGTCACACTACATCATTACAATGAGATCAAATTATGAAGTTAGTAACACTATCAATAATAGTAGAAAACACTAAGCATAGGTAATATGATTTGAGAAAAAATTAATTCGTGGAATAAAATAGTATGAAATAATTTCAAAACCCAAAATCTAAGGAAACACCGAGTGAAATCATTTACACCATTGTCCATAGATTTTGAGTCATATTTTCAACCATTGGTTACAACAATCCTATGGACCTTAATCAGTTAGTTTGCACTTCTTGACACGACTCAATCCAGTGATTTCATGAATTAAGGCCAACTCTTGGTTAAGTCACACTTAGTTTTCTTCCAACTTACTGTTAAATGAATTAACATTTTGTGTCGGGGTAGGGGGTAGGTAGTGTTAGTTTAACTGTAAGATCAAGAAACTATATACTTGGCAAACGAACTACATTAATTATTTTGATCAATAAACAAATAAATAAGCAAACCTGATAATTTTTCCATGCTTCAGCTTTCTTTGCCATTTGTTCTGCCTCAGCGTGTGCTATAGCTTTTAATGCTTCCGCCTCAGCAAGACCACGTAGCCGAATAGCCTCAGCTTCTGCTTCCGCCTCGGCAGTTAAACGTAGCCGGTCAGCTTCAGCGAGACGTTCCAAACGAAAACGTTCAGCTTCAGCTGGTTTCCGTACCGTCGCATCTAAATGACGTTCTTGTCGTACAATTTCTAATTCCTCCACTTGGATTTGTTGAGTTTTCTCAAGAACGGTGATTTGCATTTCTTCCTCCTTAATTTGTTGTTTAACTTTAGCTGCCTAGTTTTTGTTCCAAATGCAGGTATATGTGTGAGAAAGACAAGAGGAGGATACATAAGATAAGAAAAATATCATGTATTCTTTTTATGATTTAATTAATTAGTTTAATTCGGTAATCAGGATTTAAATACAAACTGACTGCGCAAATGAGACGAAATTCAAAACCGTGATCCGTCACCCGAAAATATAACTGAGGAACAGTTAAACTACCTCTATAGTATTCAATAAAAGTTCAAATACATAGGACTGATTCAGCAACTGTTTCAACTGAAACTGATAACAATTATATTACGATATTATTTTAAGGGTGATTCCATAAAATGCAATATATCTAAGTAGGTATGCAAATAACATACTTTAATTGATTCTGTAAATGCAGAATTAAAACCCAATAACGGCTAAATAGCAAAATGAAGTTGAATACTGTTAGAAGTGTGTGAGTGGTTCTCAATTCTAAAATAGGAAATATTTTCTTAAAAGGCCTGCAAAAGAAACTAGGTTGATAATGAATATCTTGTCAACATTTAGGTCTGATCATAGAGCCTAAGAGACCTTACTGTCTGAACTGAAAATCCTTGAGGTTTAATGGGATGTGTTATTTTTTGAATAAACCTTTTTAAACCCCCTTCTTTCATCAGTGGAAATGCAATATCTCCAGAGACACTGCTCATCTATGAGAGACATTGTACTCCCATCACTCTTGAATACTGTTGACAATACGATCAAACGGATCATCCTGATAAACTAACCAGACTGTTTCACTACGGTAACAGCTATAGTTGGATCCGACCACAAATAATTTAAGATATTTAACATGAACACATATTCCATACACTTAGTTCCTTTTATTTCTTTAGGTTCTCATAAGTTACTTACAACCTACAGTATTTTAAGATCAAAATTATTGTAAAGTTACCCTACTTATAACAGCGAAATTAGTCAGATATGGATATGTTTTATCATGGTATAATGGTGATTTAAAACAACTACAATGAGAAAAGAATCTGAATCATCAAACAGTAGGTTGTGAGCAACTGGTGAGAATCTAACGAAACATTTTGCTCCATAGTTTCATCAAAGAAAAAAATGATAAATTAAATCCATTTTGAACTAAAAATTTAGAATCTTTATTAATACTAACATTATTGATGAGTTTCACAACGTTAATTGGTGCATGATTTACAAAAGTCTTCTTGAAACAATAAAAATAACCACATGTTAAAAATATCAACTTAGTGATATATATATGCATCATCCCAAGTTTTGCTGAAGACTGAAAAAATTAAGAACTTTCGGTACCTACTGTTGCATTTTTATTAATAACGCATTCAGATGGATGGAGATCTGAGCAACTGTGAGAACTACAGAGGCATCACACTATAGTCAGTACCCAAAAACGTTTTCAGTAGAGTGTTACTGAACCAGATGAAAGACGCAATAGATGCCCAACTTCGATATCAACAAGCTGGATTATGAAGACCTCAACAGTTGAGGGAAAACATGGAATATAATGGACAGATTAGAATCAATTAGACGATTTGGACTTCGCAGATGACATAGTCCTCCTAGCCCATACACACGTACAAATGCGGATGAAGAAAACTAGTGTAGCAGCAGCCTCTGCATCAGTACGCCTCAACATACACAAAGGAAAAACCAACGTCCTCAAATACAACATGGAGAACACCACCACAATCACACTTGATGAAAAAACTCTGGAAGATGTGGAGTCTTTCACGTACCTGAATGCTAGGGTTGAAGCTATCACGAGTTTACTTAATCTGCGAACGAGAAACAAGACTCGGTGACCAAAGACCAGTAAGCTAGCTACTGATGCGACCCAGCCCCGCTAACTAGAGGGAGAAGTCCAAGCTTGGAATGGGGAAGTATATTTTGCAAACAGCCAGAAACGAGCGATAACAACAAACACAATTCAAAACTTACATATACAATACTAAACCGTCTTTGGAGAGAGTTACCAAATAGCATACTGAAAGACGCAACGGACTAATAGCAGTTAAGATATTTCCCAGTGGGAAATACGACGTGAAGGTGACAAGAGCGACTTGGGCGCGAGAATAAAGAAATTCAAATTTTCTAAATAAAATTACAAAATGAGGTCCTTTTCCAAGTGAGTTCTGGGGATCTAACGTCCCCAACACTGGGAAGCATTATCGGTGAACAAGAAGGATCGGATGCAGATGTAAAGGTGAGGATTGGCAAAGCAAGGGATCGCATCCCTATAATTGAAGAACATATGGAACTCAAAACAACTGTCAACCATTATCAAAGTCAGAATCTTCAGTATGAATATCAAGACAGTCATATTGTACGGAGCTGGAACGTGGAGAACTACTACAACCACCATCAAGAAGTTATAAGTATTTATAAACAGTTGTCTGCGTAAGATACTCAATATCCGTTGGCCGAATACCATCAGCAATAGCCTATAATGGGAGAGGACAAAACAGCTTCCAGTTGAAGAGGAAATTAGGACAAGACTCTGAAACTGGATAGGACATACATTACGCAAATCACCAAACTGCATCACGAGGAAAGCCCTAACTTGGAATCCTGAAAGGAAGCGGAAGGACAAATAATAAATTACGTCGGGAAATAGAAGCAGATCTGGAAAGAACTGGTAAGGATTGCCCAGGGATAGGGTTGGATGGAGAGTGCTGGTGGATGGCCTATGCTCCCCCACAAGGAGTAACAGGAATAAGTAAGTATTCAGATGGACAGTGAAAAACAAATAAAACAAACCACCGCAATGAAAAAAGCATAGACATAATTCTAGTTAGAAATCAATGAAAAATTACCTGTAATTCATAGGCTAATTCCGATTCCGCTTTACGTGATTGTACTTCTTTCTCGTAAGCAGCATTTTGTAATTCAAAATCACGTTTTGATTTAGAAATTTCAATATCATTTAATAGTTTACCGGCAACACGTTGTTTTTCAGCTTCTGCTTCTCGAATACCAGCATCACGTCTTGCCTCGGCTTCACCGATACGTGCATCACATTTAACTTGTGCTGTTCTTGCTAAACCAAGCGAACGTAAATAACCCTACGAAGGGATGGAGATACACAGATAAGAAAATAACATTGATTGAAATTAGATAGAGGATTGTATAATATGACTAATTTAAATCAAAATTGAATTTCAACTGAACGACCTGAAGATATTGTAACTGCCATAAAACATGATGGTGCTAAGGACGTACTGTAAAATAATTCACAATAATATTCATGTTAAAAAATTATGAAAGCTATTTACACAGTACTAAAATGAGAAATGGCTTCAATTTTTGAAGTAAACTAAGAGTGAATAAATTTATGATGGTTGCAAATATAAATCATTTCTGATCCTGTAGATATATAGACATACTAAAATTCACGTTTACCGTTTAATCATGTATTTTATTATAATACATGAATATGATATATGAAGTCACTGGCACCTGTAGCGAACCATAATGGCAGATGCATACTACCTGGTCCAAATTTTTGTGATAACCTTAATCATTAGTTGAAGATATTAGATGACGAGACCTAGAATTGGTCACAGTGACACAGATGCATTTAATCTTTATCTTTCCCTTAATATTTAGCTGCAATACTAGTTTATACGTATATTGCTCCAATGCATATCTTCTTTTCGAGCAATATTCTCTAATATCGTATTTTTTTTCACCATCACTTATACTACTACAATTTAGACTTATTCACTATTAATCCTGTCAATTCCATTTCTCTATGTTGACATGGTATGACAAATTGAACTGACACACATTTGTCCCAGGCTCTACGTTGATTATGAGTGACCAAAAGGTAAAAGCTAAAAAACAACATTATCAGATCAGAGGTATTTGGCCACTAGAACTTTTAAAGCCATTCGTGAATGGTATATAATATGAAGTAAATCAACTGATAAGATATGGGACATGTACTGGTTGAGACTGGAGTGTGTTATATACTTCAAAACGTTACTCAAAGTAGTAACGTAATCTAGGTACGTAGGATGGTAGAATAACTCATTAGAGTTCATTAACAACTGGTCTGAACTATGTACACAACCAAGAATGAATAGGGTAGGCATCGTGAAATAAAAAATCCCCGGTTATTAACAATTTTAGCTGATGTAAGAATCGATCACAGAAATATAAATATCATATTATCATAAATACTACACATTTTTTTGGATTCGCCCAATACCAGCTTCATTTATTTCGAAATTTTCAGATTAGGTAAAAAATTTACTTATCAATCCATCTATGTTTATTACTATTGACTAATTTACACCACGAATGTATGTGAATTATTCTAAATTCAATTAAACCACCTTATGTGCATTGCTTATGCTTCTGAGTTATTTGTTACTAAAGCATAATCAAGAGATCCTCTCTTGCGTACCGACAAACGGTTCTCAATGAACTACTTGCGCACTTACCTTTACAACTGTAGGTGAACAAACATATGTACATTAAGATATTCAACCAAGGTAACTTGTCCTTTATGCAGGTATGTAGTGGTGAATAACTAGTGTAAGATACTTGAAATGATGGTCAGGTTATCACGAGAACGTCTTATGCATCATATGATCAGGACTTTATCTGATTCATTATCTTTAAGTATCAGATTAATGTATATTTTCTTTTTTACAGTCATAACCGTTGGATGACTGATCTTCTTAAATATACAACAAATATAATCATTATTATAATTAAATGAAACTGACACTTACAGTTCACACAATATTGTGATTTCAGTAATAATACCTGTTATTGTCTCTTTACTCAATAGTGTGTATTGGATTAAACATTTTATGATTTATTGTTCCACAGTTATATAACATACCCTTTCAGGCCAGGGTAATTTTTACATTGGATTTCAGGAGAACCCGACTTTGACGTAACAACCCAAACAGTACAGCTCAATGCTGTTTAACAGGAGAGCCAGACACAGCCCAGGTTTAATCCGAGAAGTACATTCTTATATAAGTGCCCCTAACTTTTGCAGTATTTCATATTATAACTCATTAAATATAAGTTTATATACTCTATTATTTCTGTGTAGTGATAGTATTCTACTGCTCATATCAAAGTAAGTGATCTGTTATTTAAAAGCCCAGTGCATTAGACACCTAAATTATCATCTTAATCTGTTGAGTTTGTGTAGTAAACCCTATACGAATATTCAACAACATTAGAACGAATAGTTTGACAGAAATTGGGCGCCGACTATAGAGAACACATTATATGTAAAAATTATATTTCAAATAATTTCAGCGATTAAAATTTAAAATCATTCCAACGTTTTGTCCAGCCAACTTGTCTAGACTTCTTTAGGGTAATAATCAAAATCATCGAAGAACTATATAGCGTTTAACAATCAAATCTATGCTATGTTAATCTAATCATATTTGGATGTTAATTTTACTAAATAGGATAACATGAGTCAGTTAAATTGTATTGTATGCAAATCCACGTCAACTACTTCCTTACCAAAATCTATGGAAAATTTGAATGAGTTATACTATTACATCAAAAGTACTCCACAAAAATGGTAGTAAAATATAAGTGAGATGAAAGTCTACTGAGACACATTTCAATGATATTCTAACATTATGTAGGATAAACTATAACACGTAGTCATTGATATCCTATTTTTATTCAGCTGACCACTTCATTATTAACCATTATCTAATGCAGCAAAGATATAATAGCAGGAATTACCAATTTAATTATTTAAGACCCTATAAGTTAATAAAAACTCATCAAAGTTTGTAGGACAAAATAAATTCATTATTCTACTTCACGATTTCTTATCAGTTGGATCCAACATATAGTAGAATGAATTCATTTTTATTGTCCAAATCTTGTTATTCTTGCTTTGGTTAAATTTATCAACGGATCTAGTTGGAAGAAATTCAATCGCATCACAAAAAGTAGTTATTGTAACTTCGTGATCTGCCAACCAATAATAATAATGAACAGAGATAGACGGTGGGTAGCAGTGGAATCCGCGACGCGCGTTTCGTCCTACGTGGGACCCATCAGCTCGATGTACCTTCCACCATCCATCTCTGTTCACAATGCTTCTGACTTGAGGCAATATCGGGGTAAATTGTACAACATACATATATGCCAAAAAGTGACTGATCAATTGCAGTCCTAAACGTCAATGGGAAGCTCCAAATAATCAGTACAAGATGAATAGTAATAATTATAATCTGGCTTTTTTAAGTGGTGTTACAATCTCTGAGTCTATACTATATTACCAACAATCACTGAGCTCCAAAGAAATTCAGTTAATGCACTGTAGATTCAATTAAACACGCATTTTGAATTCGACTGTTACTAACTATCACGTGTAATTATATATGTGCACAGGTACAAGCTACCTGGTTGGGGACTTTGGGTGGAATTAACTGAAAATCAGCCCCAATGGGGCAGATGAATTCACTTGTTGTTCTCTCTTAGATCCTGACTATTAAAATTATTTTATGCTTTTCTATTCTGAGAATTCACTCTATTGTCTAGAATCATATTGTTTATGTCTAATCTAAGCTTCCAGGGGCTCTGAAAGAGCCAAAAAGATCCCATCTAATCACAACCCGGTAGAATTTTCTAGAAAATCAACGTGTGGATGGACAAGTGTATAAACTTCCTGCTTGACGATTGGGTACCCCGAAATGCCCTGGTGCGGCTGAGGATGGGGAGAGTCCGTCTTCCCTCTCAAAACGCTCTCAACATGACCACGCATATAATAATGATGTTACAGCACATATGGAAAACTATATATACACCTGTTTTTCTGTACATTTTGACACTGTAGTAAACGCTTTTCCTATTTTCTTCTGACTTTTAACCTGCGAATTGAGGGTTCTACACGTGCTGAAGTTGTAATCAAGTAGTAAAAATAACAAGTGCTACTTTTATTACCCTGGCATTTATTTAGTTACTTTCATTTTTCAATGCTGATATGATATGACAGCTTGAACTGATATTGATATGCACCAGATTTCAAGTTGTTCATAACTGACTGATTAATTTATGCAAATATACATAGAAAAATTACAGATAATTTTACTAGATTACTTTATAAATTACTCAAACTGATTAAAAGTAACCTAATCGATATGCTCAAACTAGTAATTTTTGAATGGTAACTAGATAAAGAAATAATGTTGATCGAAACAACTAATGTTCAATGATGAGGAGAGATTAATAAAATATATTAATATGACAATTTGAACATTAAAAACCAATGAACTACTACTAGTAAATGTTTTAATGTTTCTATTAAATCAATAAGGATCATCAAAAATAACCTAAATTCAAGATTTAGAGGTTATCTTTTTTAACCTACGAAAAAATAACTTTATATTTGATCAAGAATTTAGATATCCAAGAATCAGAGAATCTTTATGTTTTATGTGGTATGAAGTCACATGACTCAGAAAAAAAATCTGACTGATGTTGAGTATCAGGTATGGAATTTCAACTTCGATCGGTTAACTGTTAGTACTCAGTGGTCAGTTAGTGCAAAAAATATCAGTCTTACAGGATAACAATTGTTCAAAATAATTCAACAGCATGTCATTGATTAAGACATTGCGTGACACAAGCACTATTCTCTGATCGAGTGTTGATTTCTTTAAGTTGTAGGTAAGACTGGTTGAAGAGTGTTCATGAGTATAAAACTAGGATTTAAAACTTCCTGTCGATTTACACTAATCGATCATCAAGAGATAATCATTATCATTTTTGCTTAGTTCTTAATGCTAGCTGATTTTATAGATCAAGTTGCAATATGGGTATTCTCCTAAGTAATTTGACGTTATCTAGGTTATATTTGGATGTAATGGCCCTCTGGAAACTGCCTCCAACCATCTAAATCCTAACTGACTGCCTAAAGATACATAACATTAAACAGAATGGATGATGAACTCAACTTATTCAGTAAAGTGATTTAGTGAACTGATGTTACTGTGCTCGTCGTGAGACATAAAGGTTCTGGACAGAGTTTTATGCACAGGACCTCCAAAACGGGACGAAATAGGTGTTCAGTCCTCTAAAGTTTTCCCCAACTACCTAACTGATGTCAATTTATGATGAAAATCATACTTAAGTTGGAAAAGAATCTCGGAGAACCATATATCCAAATACAAATTATTACTACATACATACCTCATCATCTTTTATATCTTTTAGTGTATAACTAACTACACTAATTCCCATATTCACCAAATCCGAACTGGCCACTTCAAAAACAGCTTTTGAAAATTTTTTTCTATCTTTGTATATTTCTTCAACTGTCATATTGCCCATAATAGCACGCTGATGACCTTCAAGTGTTTCTTGAGCTATTTCACGTATTTCATTTTCTGATTTGCCAAGAAATTGTTCACATGCAGCCGCTAACATTTCTTGGTTACTTCCATTAATTTTTACCTAAGTTACATAAAAGTAAAGATGAGAAAGCTCCAATTATTGAATTGTTAAACAATATAAACCGAGAGTCCTTCCACGGTGGATGTAATTAATGAGAATCTTTAAAGTAGGTATCTAGGACATGTCCGAAAATGATTATTTAACCGCTTCAATACAAATGTTCACTATCTACTTTCTTGTATATAGTTCTCTATAACAATCTTTCACAGAGGTGATGTTTTAGTCTAATCAGCGGTAAAATGTTTCTATAGTTTCGGTTAGTTTGACAGTAAAATAGAGAAACAGAAATTATCTTGATATAAAACTAACTCACACTCCCCAGATTTTGACAGTATCAACAACTAGCTAGATACAAGACAGAATAACGGGAAAGCTAGTGAAAGTAGCTTTCTCAAGAAAACAGTGCTTATCGTTAATTTAAACACAAGTATTGGTACAAAGCGGCACCAAAATATATATGCGCCACATAATAACAAAATGAGATTGAAAAGGGATAGAGAAAGAAATATATGGTAAGAAACACAACAGATGAACCAAAATAAGTAAATGAGAGTAAAAAATATAATAGGAAAAACAGTTCAATTAGGAAAAATACAACTAAAGAATTCTTCCAGTCCAAGAAGTTCCTCTTGTTTGTATGAAAGTAAACGAAAACTACACTAGAACCACCATTAGCTTTTATTCTGAGTCATGTCTGATAACGTCTTCTGAGACTGTGTTGTACTTTCAATGAGACCCCAATCAGGGAGTCGTGAAGGGCCAACAGATACCAGTTATGTACAGCTTTATTGCAAACCACGGAACCATGTCACAGACTGACCAGTTCTGCTTTTTCCAACTAGCCCAGGGGTCTGTAAATACTGCACGATATGAAATTCACTGGAATGACATGCTTAGTACATGTCCAAGTCACCAAAGTCGGTGTTTCAAGATTGTGATATAAATTGAATTATCGTTGCTGTGCCCGAAAACACGTTGGCGAACCTCTGCAGTAATAACATGGTGCTGTCGTTGAATGTTAGGGATCTTTTGGAGGCAACGATGATCAGACACCGAGAATCGCTTAACTTCTTCAAGTCAGAGAGGTCATGTTTCACAAAACTGCTCTTACCGAAGCGCTGTAAATCCAACATTTTACAGAGCCTATCATCACGAAGGAGCCAAAGATGGCCCAGACTGGTATAAAACACTTGTTATAATCTCTATTATTACAACCCATCTATTCATATTGCTTAGTATCCTTGGATGACAACTCATTCGACAAGTTCCCAAATCAAAATACGTTGAACGGGAACGAAACTATATTCCAAATACCAAGGGTAGATAGAAGTAAGAAGCACAATAAGAGAAACGTTAGTATATTTATGGTTTTTACTTGAGAAGATTCTAGAGTCTTCTCCAAGTATCGACTAGCGCTGACTGGATAGGAAATAGCCAATCAGCGTCCACGGAACGTGCTTTAATCCAATCTATATTCCGCTAACACCTCTCTGACCTGCACTATACCTAATATGATCTCATCACTCACACCTACGGCAACACTTACAAAACTACCCAAATACACGAACTTTTTGACTACTTTTAACTGCTCACCACCAAGAGTGTAGGCACAGGCTCCTACATAGTGCATGACAATATAATCCACATACCCAAGGTCGAAAGGTTCTTTTCCATGTAATAGATCTAAACTACCATTACCCGCTTTCATCAGAGCTGTTTCCTAAAGGTCGCTTATGGGAAAATTGGGGAGTAGTGGTGATATTAGACAGTCCTGCTTAATCTTATTGATCGAATGGAACAATGAAGAGAGGTAGTTGTATGCCCTCACTTTACCTCAGGTGTTTGTATATAGACACTTTAAGATGTTAATAAACCTTCCAGTCAAACCCTTTATCAACAGAATCCCAGAGAACAATCCTCTCTAATGAACAGACTACATAAATATGCCAAAATACGGTTAAACTTGCTGGATAGTTGAAAGTAAGTATCAGATATTATCACTGATTGAGATCACTAAACACAGTGCACCGCAATATTCAGTAAATTACCTTAGCTATGTTGCTAATATGATCGACAGAACTCAGTTAACATTTAAACTGGTGGAAATACTATCCAGAAACAGGTAAATAAGCAGATAGCTTTTGAATTTTTGTAAAAACACGGTAGAGTTAGTAAGGAGGTTCAAAAACTGACTACGCTAATATGGCCATTTGTGAAAGCCGAATATTATCAGGTTAGAGCTTCACTTCTAATGCAATTAAAAAAAACACGATTCCAAGTAGACTAAATCATAATTCTAAGGAAGATTCTGTAGCATTTGTTCTTTTGGTACTTGTTTGGCTAGATAACTATAATTTTGCGAACATTAGTTTTTGTCTCCTTACTGAGAGTCTCACGAAATGTAAATCAGAAAACTTATAACATGAAATATCAAGAATATATATCCTACTACTATATTAAGGTAGTGAGGTGGTCTCTGAGTAGATAAAATAGTATAACCACAAACAAACATACTTGTGCAACACCAGTTACTGTGATAGGAACACCAAGCTGAGTGTAGATTCGAGGGCTTTCGATGATTAATGTCATTGTATTCAATGGCATCCTTCATTTGATTATTGAAAAAAGTGAACAGAAACACAATTGCACAATATTCAAATTATTTAGTAATCACAATATAAAGTTAACTAATTAGAAAAGGTCGGATTTAAATAATATCCCAGCATACATGATTCAACGATAAGAAATACAGTGGTGGATTAAAGACTGAGGCATAAGAACTCGAATTCTGGAGATGTAAATTTGAATCTTTTTTTCATCTACTTTAATTTCAGAAACCGCATAACATCACTAACCTACAATGGGTACGGTCCAAAGTCAAGTAAAATGTCTACTTGATATCGGAGGTGTGTGCTCATTTAAAACTAGAAGGAAGGAAATTTGACCACGCAGAATTTCTTAAAGGAGCATGACAGACTGATGTTTTAAGTTTACATCAAAGAGTAAGATTTGATACTACATTGGATTACAGTATTCTCAACACAAACCTCGGGGAAATCGGCTGAGTTAGATTATAAGTACCATAAGGGTTACATCGTAGCCATTTTCAGGTTTATTCCTAAGTTCACGTACATGATTATCTGCTGCTTTAGAACTTGTGAGATAGCTATATATTTTCTGAAGTACATGAGTGCAAAAATGCAGTTGTTTCTAGATGAAGATTTGCGTAAGTTGTGTGTGTAGTGTGGTCAGTAAGGGGGATACGATTAAAATATACCACCCAGTCGAAAACTTTCTCAATCTTAACAAATTACCTTTGTGTTTTGGTATCGGGAAGCCAATATCAGGACGTGAAAAACGAATCACAAAAATACTTACAAACTTCTGCTTCCCTATGGAATCCCTTTCTGTATCAGATAGTGGTTCAAGCACAGATCCTGAGGGATAAATAGCTGATGATGGAGGTACTCTGTCGACTTCATCGAAAGGCTTGAAAAATAAATTGGGTTCAATGGCACTAAAGGAGACATCTCCAGGTGACTTTCAATTACTACTAGTGTTTTTCCTTAATATTACAGAAGACTGAGAGCATATTTGTTGTCCAGTTAGTTATTTTGTCCAAATTGCTTTCAAGAATAGTGACATTTAATAGTTCCCAAATCTTCAATCAACTCTCAAAATCTAAACAAAGTATATTTATAGGGAGCATTCGGTAAATGGTTGATGGATAGGATCAAAGGTGTGGGTCGATAGTGAAAAAATATGCTATTCAACTAGTTATGGAAAGCTCAGTAAACAAAAATCAAGCTCGAAAAGTTTGTAACGTGTCATTGAGACAATCCCACACACATTTAAGCAAATATCCAAGCCAGGCACTTCACGATATACTGTTTGAGGTCTAACAGAAGGATACGACCATGGACACTTCGTCTGAATTGAGGGATTAATTGTTCAGTGATTGGCAGGTTGGTAAGAAGGTACCTTGGAACTAGATTCACTAGTGGATCCGTTCATTACTATTTTCATGACTTTCGAAACAAATGATAGGTAGGGAAGTTCTCACTCTTTTTCCGCTGAGAATGACTTATTCTAATGTCCAACGACTCAGAATCACCTATTCGGAGGCTCGACATTTGGAGTAGAAGGCAAAGTAAGTCAGCAAAATCTTTTGACGTACTAAGCAGAATGTCATTTAAGAAATCAGACTCATTCGGACCCAAATGGTCCGAAATAAGAGATGGAATTAAGTCACAAGGAGCTTAGGAAAGGCGGTAGACCTGCTTCCTACTATAAGTGGAGTGAGGTTTATTCAGCCAAAAAATATAATAACCTAGCAGTGACAATTATGAATCGATGGGAATTTTTGTACTTGCACTTAAACAGCAAAGGCTCTCCTTATAAATGAATTCACGCAAGGGCCACATGTTGCCTAAATTTTAAAATAAGTGTACCACACAAATAATTCTATTGAGAATAAGTTAACAGAACTGTCTATACAAGATGTCTACATCAATATATATGTGACATAACCGGCCTGCTTTTTGTCATTTCGCTTTAGGGTTGTTTCCATTTTGGAAAGAATGAAGCAAGTGAATAAAGTACTGTATTGAAATAATTAAGAATCATGCTCACCTTTCCACTCTTTGAATTCCTGGCCAAACAAATACTCGTCCACCAGGAACTAGTAAGGGACTTTTATGAAAGCAACCTGTGGCAGTAAGAAAAAGTTAACGTTTGATCAGAAACATGCCAGAGACAACCATAGCCTCATTCGGGCCACAGGTATTAAAACCCCAACCCATTTACAGCCGAAGATGAAAACTTAAAATGTCCTCCATAATAAGGTCTTAGGAATGACCTCAAATAACCAATGATTCAAATGGTTCAAATGGTTGGGGACGGAATAGAAGAAGCTTTCGCTTAACGAGCTTCCATGTCTAGTAGCAGTGGATCGCCAATACCTCCAGGCAGGAACCTATGTATATTAACAGCAAAAGAGGAAAAATAAATTGATAAATCATATTAAGATACTATCTTTAGTCCTTAAGAATAGGTCAAGTTACTACTAAAAGAACTCCTGGGAAGTCGCTTAGACTAGCTCAGCTGGCAGCAAATTCTAGCATTTGACAACTCTAAAGAAGTAGTTTTGTCTACAGTTCGTTCTGCTGTGTTGTGTCTCTAATTTCTGGGTGTTACCCGTTAGGTTTGTGTTGTAGCTAAACTTAAGTAGATGTTTAAGAGGATGTTCAGAAGTGTCAGGGATGCTGTAAGCCATTAGAAGGTCACCTCTAAGACGCCTGCAATCTAATGGGTAAAGGTTTGGTGATTGATGGCGCTCTTCATAAGGCTTGAATTTGAGTCCCCCGAACTGATTTCATGGATCGCTGTTGAACAGTCTCGTGTTGTGACGGTGAATTAAATTAGTTATGAGACACTGTAAGCAACCTAAATGGTCACTATCGGAAAGCCAAGGTTCCTGTTTTGCCAAAAACCCAGACAGCGTGCACATATTTTTATCGTCTTACTGCGTACATCAATTTACATGTGTATGCGGGAATACATACAGCAAGGTGGACCGTTAATTGTAAGTAAGGTTAAGTAAACTCATAACTAAATGGCTACGAGAGAAAATGACTTTTAGCGGTCGAATAAGATCACAGGGTATATGAATATCTTCCTCCACCGAGAAACATTTGGTTAAAACCAGTCATGAGGTTGATATCAAGTTTTTCTATTATAGTCTGATGCAAGTTACAAGAAGGTATACTAAGGTTTGTTGAGGGCTTGATTATGAACAAACTGAAACCTCCATTATATGTTCAAAAGCAATCTTTTATTGCTTTTGATGTACTTTGGTAATAGCGATTTGATACTTGTAGAATTATGGTCTACTATGATATTAGTACTGCTCTAATAATGGACCTAATCCTAAAACTGTAGACTTGTCATGATATAACTGCCTAATCTATAAGATCTTACGTGGAAGACACATCATCGTCTACACCAACTCACTGTATCGTAACAACTACCAATACATGATGGAGAACAAGTTTAGACTAGAGAAAGAACAATATATTTAATATGAATAAAAGATATAAGGTAATATTCCGCAAGGACCACGCCTGCATGGCCGAGCCATGCCACTCGATCAACTCCAGTCCCTTCAACTCATTCTCCGCGCCTTCTCCATTGTTAGGTATTTCCCCGAGTTAAATATTGAATATCTATTTTCTGAGTAGTCTCGTGTTCACAGCTTTGTGGATTGTGTGGCTATTGTCCAGTGCCACTACATACTTACTTCACATTGTGTATTTAATTATTATTTTTCCCTCCTCTTAAATTCCAAACTGTCTGGTTCTGTTTCTTCATATATGATGCATATATGTGATCAAGTTGCTGAAAATGTATTGGGAAAATATATCTCATGGTTTTGATAAACCTAATCTTATCATCGCATTAACAAGGCTTTCGACAACATCAAAGATACAGAGTAGTTTCACAAGTTTACAATCGTGACTGTTTACTTTGTACGACGACAACTTGCTTCTATTTGGAATACTGCCTCAGATAATAACTACAGCCTCCTCAATTCATAGCTTCAAGAGGAGACTTGAGAAACTATGATATTCTAATTATCGTATGAACTAGGAATTCCAGGATTAACGCAATTCAATTAAGAAGACACAGACACAAACGAATGTATTGTATTTAGAATTCGAAATCAAGCATTCAACCAGTACAAAGGTATCACTAGTTCATTCAAACACCACATCCGCCACAGCTTAAATTGGAGTCTAGGTGTTTGTAATCAATCGTACGTCTTCTCAAATTCATCCTGAGTCTGTCTGACATTGTATTGGATAAGGATTCTGTATTATCTAGAATATGCTCATTAGCATTAGAATTAACAATCGAAATCGGAACTGACTCACCTGGTACCTGAAATTGTATTTGATCTACATGTCGACTGTGTGTACTTAAGTCATCGATGTCTAGAATTCGCACCATCGATTTTCCAACATTCTTCAGAACAATACCCGTAGATGGTCGAAGATCATTTCCTCGATAGTATGTAACTTCTGCAGACTCCAAACATCTCATATTCGACCGAAGAATTCTTCGTTTCAATAGCTTCGCTGGAGTCTCCTTCGTCACCGAATGTCTGGCATTTTTATATTGCAATAGAAAGGTATCTACTCCCCTCTCCAGCTCATTAAATGTTGAGGGGGCTATAGAATCAATAGCAGTCTTTAATGTCCTAACAAAATTCTCTGCCTGACCATTAGAACACGGATGTCTGGGAGCAGTAAACAGATGTTTGCACCCTATACCGTTCAACCAGGTAGTGACTGCATCTGCAGCAAAATGTGAGCCATTATCAGTCACCAACCCCATGGGAACCCCTTCTCGACTAAACACCTTTCTTAATGCTTGTATTGTGAAATCAGAATTTGGTGAAGTTGTAAAAAAAACTTCAGGCAACTTTGAAAAAGAATCAATGACTACTAGTGCGTAGTATTCACCAAGAAATGGTCCACAATAGTCAGCATGAATCCTCTGCCAGGCCTTAGACGATACTGGCCATGGCACCCACTTCGAATGATGATTTTTCAACTGATGACATTTCTCACAATTGTTTGCCGTACGACATATATCTGCATTTATCTCTGATTAGCAATTCACAACATCCTCGTATGGTCAGTCTGTGTCCAGTAATCCCCAGTATTGATACTTCAGTGGGTCGTACAACAACGTTAGGATCTAGAGCTTTCTAGCTCTTGAATGAAATAATGGACTCTATACTGCCTGTGTCCACAATAAAGCCATGACATGGACCAAGCGATGTATATAGTCGCTTCTGAATATGAGCATTATTTTTCGAAATAGTAGACGAAGATAAATGATCACTAGAAACATCCGAATTATTGAAATTTAAATTACAAGATTTAGCACAGCTTGAAGCAAAATGGACAGTAGCTTTGCATACTGACTGAATGTGTCCTACCTTACCACATTTAAAACATTTAGCATTACGAAATACACATGAATTGCGAGCATGAAACTTTCCACATGATAAACATTTACCAAACTTCATCTCACCTTTGTGATTTGCTTTGTAATTCCTTGTTGAAACACCTTTCATATTTACACGAGAATAGGAATCACTTTTTTTGGTGGAGTTTTGTTCTCTGAACTGGATGGTTTGGTCATGGAGCTTTTATCTGAAGTTTGTGCTGATGATGTCGTTCAGAAGAACGATGAAAGCTCCACGACCAAACCATCCAGTTCAGAGAACAAAACTCCACCAAAATCATCCACCTGAGCTACAAATCTTCTCCACCATCTCAATAGGAATCACTGTTAAATGAACGCAAGTTTGATTGACCCTGAGATTGTAGTTCATCACGAAGACTAAGCAAAGTATTAGGAATCTTCATCGACTGGATATCAAGTTCATTGACTGCTTCGTAGTTAATACATGCAGTTCTAGCATCTTGAAAGGAACAGTTTGGTATTTTTAACAGCTCTCTTTCCAAACTCGGTATGTTACTTCCTGCAATTAATCGATCTCTCAGTTGCACATGAAGTTGATCACCGAAATTACACTTGGCAGCTTGTTTCTTCAATACAAGGATGATTTCCATAAACGTTTGGTCATTTCGACGAAACATCTTATGAAATTTCGCCCTTTCACGACATCCAATACTAGTGCACTTTACGTGAATTAATAATAGCTCCTTAAGAGTTGCATAAGGAAAAGAGATAGGTTTTTCTGGATATGCCAAAGTTTTTATAAGCTGTACGCTTCTCTCCCAATGAATGTCAGAAAATGTGCCACAATTTTATCACCTTTAACATCTTCCTTGGTCATGCTCCAGACTTTGAACCTTTCCAAGTAATCCTCAAAAGTTTCAGGAGTTGAATGAATATCTAACTTTTCCATTGCAGGCTCCAACGCGACGCCAATATGATATTCTAATTATCGTATGAACTAGGAATTCCAGGATTAACGCAATTCAATTAAGAAGACACAGACACAAACGAATGTATTGTATTTAGAATTCGAAATCAAGCATTCAACCAGTACAAAGGTATCACTAGTTCATTCAAACACCACATCCGCCACAGCTTAAATTGGAGTCTAGGTGTTTGTAATCAATCGTACGTCTTCTCAAATTCATCCTGAGTCTGTCTGACATTGTATTGGATAAGGATTCTGTATTATCTAGAATATGCTCATTAGCATTAGAATTAACAATCGAAATCGGAACTGACTCACCTGGTACCTGAAATTGTATTTGATCTACATGTCGACTGTGTGTACTTAAGTCATCGATGTCTAGAATTCGCACCATCGATTTTCCAACATTCTTCAGAACAATACCCGTAGATGGTCGAAGATCATTTCCTCGATAGTATGTAACTTCTGCAGACTCCAAACATCTCATATTCGACCGAAGAATTCTTCGTTTCAATAGCTTCGCTGGAGTCTCCTTCGTCACCGAATGTCTGGCATTTTTATATTGCAATAGAAAGGTATCTACTCCCCTCTCCAGCTCATTAAATGTTGAGGGGGCTATAGAATCAATAGCAGTCTTTAATGTCCTAACAAAATTCTCTGCCTGACCATTGGAACACGGATGTCTGGGAGCAGTAAACAGATGTTTGCACCCTATACCGTTCAACCAGGTAGTGACTGCATCTGCAGCAAAATGTGAGCCATTATCAGTCACCAAACCCATGGGAACCCCTTCTCGACTAAACACCTTTCTTAATGCTTGTATTGTGAAATCAGAATTTGGTGAAGTTGTAAAAAAAACTTCAGGCAACTTTGAAAAAGAATCAATGACTACTAGTGCGTAGTATTCACCAAGAAATGGTCCACAATAGTCAGCATGAATCCTCTGCCAGGCCTTAGACGATACTGGCCATGGCACCCACTTCGAATGATGATTTTTCAACTGATGACATTTCTCACAATTGTTTGCCGTACGACATATATCTGCATTTATCTCTGATTAGCAATTCACAACATCCTCGTATGGTCAGTCTGTGTCCAGTAATCCCCAGTATTGATACTTCAGTGGGTCGTACAACAACGTTAGGATCTAGAGCTTTCTAGCTCTTGAATGAAATAATGGACTCTATACTGCCTGTGTCCACAATAAAGCCATGACATGGACCAAGCGATGTATATAGTCGCTTCTGAATATGAGCATTATTTTTCGAAATAGTAGACGAAGATAAATGATCACTAGAAACATCCGAATTATTGAAATTTAAATTACAAGATTTAGCACAGCTTGAAGCAAAATGGACAGTAGCTTTGCATACTGACTGAATGTGTCCTACCTTACCACATTTAAAACATTTAGCATTACGAAATACACATGAATTGCGAGCATGAAACTTTCCACATGATAAACATTTACCAAACTTCATCTCACCTTTGTGATTTGCTTTGTAATTCCTTGTTGAAACACCTTTCATATTTACACGAGAATAGGAATCACTTTTTTTGGTGGAGTTTTGTTCTTTGAACTAGATGGTTTGGTCGTGTAGCTTTCATTATTCTTCTGAAAGACGTTTGTGCTGGTGATGTTGGTCAGAAGAACGATGAAAGCTCCATGACCAAACCATCCAGTTCAGAGAACAAAACTCCACCAAAATCATCCACCTGAGCTACAAATCTTCTCCACCATCTCAATAGGAATCACTGTTAAATGAACGCAAGTTTGATTGACTCTGAGATTGTAGTTCATCACGAAGACTAAGCAAAGTATTAGGAATCTTCATCGACTGGATATCAAGTTCATTGACTGCTTCGTAGTTAATACATGCAGTTCTAGCATCTTGAAAGGAACAGTTTGGTATTTTTAACAGCTCTCTTTCCAAACTCGGTATGTTACTTCCTGCAATTAATCGATCTCTCAGTTGCACATGAAGTTGATCACCGAAATTACACTTGGCAGCTTGTTTCTTCAATACAAGGATGATTTCCATAAACGTTTGGTCATTTCGACGAAACATCTTATGAAATTTCGCCCTTTCACGACATCCAATACTAGTGCACTTTACGTGAATTAATAATAGCTCCTTAAGAGTTGCATAAGGAAAAGAGATAGGTTTTTCTGGATATGCCAAAGTTTTTATAAGCTGTACGCTTCTCTCCCAATGAATGTCAGAAAATGTGCCACAATTTTATCACCTTTAACATCTTCCTTGGTCATGCTCCAGACTTTGAACCTTTCCAAGTAATCCTCAAAAGTTTCAGGAGTTGAATGAATATCTAACTTTTCCATTGCAGGCTCCATCGCGACGCCAATATGATGTTCTAATTATCGTATGAACTAGGAATTCCAGGATTAACGCAATTCAATTAAGAAGACACAGACACAAACGAATGTATTGTATTTAGAATTCGAAATCAAGCATTCAACCAGTACAAAGGTATCACTAGTTCATTCAAACACCACATCCGCCACAGCTTAAATTGGAGTCTAGGTGTTTGTAATCAATCGTACGTCTTCTCAAATTCATCCTGAGTCTGTCTGACATTGTATTGGATAAGGATTCTGTATTATCTAGAATATGCTCATTAGCATTAGAATTAACAATCGAAATCGGAACTGACTCACCTGGTACCTGAAATTGTATTTGATCTACATGTCGACTGTGTGTACTTAAGTCATCGATGTCTAGAATTCGCACCATCGATTTTCCAACATTCTTCAGAACAATACCCGTAGATGGTCGAAGATCATTTCCTCGATAGTATGTAACTTCTGCAGACTCCAAACATCTCATATTCGACCGAAGAATTCTTCGTTTCAATAGCTTCGCTGGAGTCTCCTTCGTCACCGAATGTCTGGCATTTTTATATTGCAATAGAAAGGTATCTACTCCCCTCTCCAGCTCATTAAATGTTGAGGAGGCTATGGAATCAATAGCAGTCTTTAATGTCCTAACAAAATTCTCTGCCTGACCATTAGAACACGGATGTCTGGGAGCAGTAAATAGATGTTTGCACCCTATACCGTTCAACCAGGTAGTGACTGCATCTGCAGCAAAATGTGAGCCATTATCAGTCACCAACACCAAGGGAACACCTTCTCGACTAAACACCTTTCTTAATGCTTGTATTGTGAAATCAGAATTTGGTGAAGTTGTAAAAAAAACTTCAGGCAACTTTGAAAAAGAATCAATGACTACTAGTGCGTAGTATTCACCAAGAAATGGTCCACAATAGTCAGCATGAATCCTCTGCCAGGCCTTAGACGATACTGGCCATGGCACCCACTTCGAATGATGATTTTTCAACTGATGACATTTCTCACAATTGTTTGCCGTACGACATATATCTGCATTTATCTCTGATTAGCAATTCACAACATCCTCGTATGGTCAGTCTGTGTCCAGTAATCCCCAGTATTGATACTTCAGTGGGTCGTACAACAACGTTAGGATCTAGAGCTTTCTAGCTCTTGAATGAAATAATGGACTCTATACTGCCTGTGTCCACAATAAAGCCATGACATGGACCAAGCGATGTATATAGTCGCTTCTGAATATGAGCATTATTTTTCGAAATAGTAGACGAAGATAAATGATCACTAGAAACATCCGAATTATTGAAATTTAAATTACAAGATTTAGCACAGCTTGAAGCAAAATGGACAGTAGCTTTGCATACTGACTGAATGTGTCCTACCTTACCACATTTAAAACATTTAGCATTACGAAATACACATGAATTGCGAGCATGAAACTTTCCACATGATAAACATTTACCAAACTTCATCTCACCTTTGTGATTTGCTTTGTAATTCCTTGTTGAAACACCTTTCATATTTACACGAGAATAGGAATCACTTTTTTTGATGGAGTTTTGTTCTCTGAACTGGATGGTATGGTTGTGGAGCTTTCATCGTCCTATCTGAAGTTTGTGCTGATGAGGTCGTTCAAAAGAACGATGAAAGCTTTACGACCAAACCATCCAGTTCAGAGAACAAAACTCCACCAAAATCATCCACCTGAGCTACAAATCTTCCCCACCATCTCAATAGGAATCACTGTTAAATGAACGCAAGTTTGATTGACTCTGAGATTGTAGTTCATCACGAAGACTAAGCAAAGTATTAGGAATCTTCATCGACTGGATATCAAGTTCATTGACTGCTTCGTAGTTAATACATGCAGTTCTAGCATCTTGAAAGGAACAGTTTGGTATTTTTAACAGCTCTCTTTCCAAACTCGGTATGTTACTTCCTGCAATTAATCGATCTCTCAGTTGCACATGAAGTTGATCACCGAAATTACACTTGGCAGCTTGTTTCTTCAATACAAGGATGATTTCCATAAACGTTTGGTCATTTCGACGAAACATCTTATGAAATTTCGCCCTTTCACGACATCCAATACTAGTGCACTTTACGTGAATTAATAATAGCTCCTTAAGAGTTGCATAAGGAAAAGAGATAGGTTTTTCTGGATATGCCAAAGTTTTTATAAGCTGTACGCTTCTCTCCCAATGAATGTCAGAAAATGTGCCACAATTTTATCACCTTTAACATCTTCCTTGGTCATGCTCCAGACTTTGAACCTTTCCAAGTAATCCTCAAAAGTTTCAGGAGTTGAATGAATATCTAACTTTTCCATTGCAGGCTCCATC